AGATAAATGAAAATGGTAAGGATGTAAAAGGGTTAATAGCACAAAACGTCACTACGTTTAATATTTGTTGTGGAAAACGTCCCTACGTTTCATTTTTTTTTCATTTTCGTTCTTATTTAAACGTTTGATTGTCATTTTCACCATTTTTGAATGTAAAATGACTAAAATATCCTCCTATTTAAATAAAACCAAAAAAAGAAAAGAAAAATAAAGAATAAATTGTAATTTTACTCCTAAATGTTTTAAAAAGTGCAAGTAAATCGAAATAATAATTAAAAGGCATAATAGTACAAAATGTCCCTACGTTTGGCCTATAATGTGCAAAACGTCCCTACGTTTCAAATTGATGAAAATGACATTTTTCGCAATGAAACATGAAAAAAAAAAAAAAAAAAAAAAGGGGGAAAAAAACTTAAAAAAAGGGAAAAAAAAAAAAAAAAAAAAAAAAAAAAAAAAAAAAATTGAAACGTATGGGCTTTTTTCGCAAGAAATGTCAAACGTAGGGACGTTTTGTGCTATTAAACCTTATTAAAATTGAAACCATTGCCAAACCGCCGAACCTCTATACCATTTCAAAAATATCATCACCCAAACTCCGATGGCACCACCTGTTCCGAAGAGATCCACGTCATTTCTAACACATCAATCGACTATACTCACTAGAACACTTCTCTTCATAGTTTTAAAACAATAACATATAGTTCAGCAGTATCGAAGTTCGACAATTTGGGTGATGGTTGGTCGAAGTTTTTTCATTTCTAAGGTGGTAGTCCCATTTGGAGAAGAAGAAACCATGAAGAGAAGCGCCCTGGTGAGCATAGTCGATTGGTGTATTGGAAATAACATGGATATCTCCGGAATAGGTGGTGCCGCCGGAGTTTGGGTGATGGTATTTTGGAAATGGTATGGAGGTTAATCGGTTTGGCAATGATTTCAATTTTAATAAAGCCTAATAGCATAAAACACTCCTACGTTGACACTTTTTGCGAAAAACGTTCATACCTTTGACACTTCTTGCAGAGAACGTCCATGCGTTTCATTTTTTTATTTTTTTTACATTTTCATCCATATTTTCACGTTTCATTACGGAAAATGTCATTTCATCAATTTGAAACGTAAAGACATTTTGCACACTATAGACCAAACGTAGGGACGTTTTGTGCTATTAGGCATTTTAATAATTATTTGAACTCACTTGCACTTTTTAAAATATTTAGGAGTAAGGTTATAATTTATTATTTATTTTTCTTTTCTTTTTTTGCATTTTATTTTAATATGAGGGTATTTTGATCATTTTACATTCAAAAATGGTGAAAAGGACATTTTTAGCCATGAAACATTGAAATAAAGACGAAAATGCAAAAAAATTAAATATAGGAACGTTTTGTGCTATTAACCCGATGTAAAAAATATATAAAAATGGTGTGGATAGATGTATGAAATGATTGAAGGAAATATGATGTGATAGATATTTAGAAATAGTGTGAATGTCTAGTGTTCAAATGAATGAATTTAATTAAGATATTATTGAAATGTCATCGGATGAAATAGTATTTTAATCTTAAATTTTAAAATTTTAGTAAGGATGAATGTAGAGAGAGATAGATATATAATAATGTTGAATAGAAGTAGCGGCTCCCAAACAAAATCATTAACACCTTACTCCAAGAGAATA